CGGTGAATTTTTTATCGGACTTATTTGTCCTAGTTGAATGGAAATATTTTAATCTTATACATTGATGTTTTATGTAATTCAGATCGTGATAGTCCTAGTGTTCTGCATTAAATTCTATATTGTTTTCTGAAAATCAGTGTTTTTGATAATTTAAGGCTAAAATCATCAGCATGCATAAATTAAAATTTAAAAAATGTTTGAAATCCTTGTCTATTATTGCTGTGAAAGTTGGTCTTGTGGTAATAACGGAATGCAAGTCTAAGTGAATTCAGCGGTTAAATGTTTTATGATCAATGCTGGAAATCTAAAGATGCTCGCAGTTGAACATTTCTGCAGTTTGGCTCCTGACATCAAAATGTTCTGCTTGACATTTTGGAATTTTTAAGTATAATTTGGGTGCTTGAGATTGCTGAATATACATTAACACATGTATGTAAAACCATTGGTATAAATCTTCAAAAGTTTTATCTGATATAGCTAACATGCTTAATAGAAGAAGCTCATGTGCATTGAACGTAGTTGTTGGTTGGATACTTACTAATTTTGTGTGTTCATAAGAAATTGGACTGTATTCAGCTTAGGTTACTATTTTAAGTTTATTGTGGTTATTAGTCTGTGAAACTTTTGAGTTTAAAGTGTAGTTCCAGCATAGTATTTCAACATGTTTATTTTGCACCATGCATGTGGAGTTATTATATGTTATATTCAGTCTTGCTAACCTGGATTATTTTAACAGTTTGTATCATTGGTGCATCCATCAATTAGTGTCGATTGTTCGATACTACGTGATTGCTATGAATCATTTGCGATGTATTGCTTCGGAAGATACCTTATTGGTTGCTTGGGTATGTAGTTTCAAAAGCCTTGAACTTGAAACAAAGATTTTATTACTTAGGTCTGGATCAGCCATGCATGATATTTCATTTATATTACAGTTTCTGTTGTGGCATTGTCTTTGTTATATGCTTTGCTCATACACTTGAATCTCAATTTTGGAAACCTAGATATTATTTTTAATGTCTTTGAATAGAAATTTTCAACACTTTGCTCTTTCATTTCATCCTTTGTTAGTTTTGCTCAAGCAAGGTCCAGGATGTGATTTGCAGCCCTTAAGCATCAATGACCAGCTCAAGGCTCAACACTACGGTCTACATGGTGGTCAAAGGCTGTTTCAGTTACAAGCCAATGGCTTGTTTTAGTTTAAAGTTATTTGGTGCTAAGAATGTGCATTGAGCTATTGATGAAAATGTTTGAAGTATATTACCTTAAGATGCACAGACAGAAAGAAAATGGTATTGGAAAAAATTCATTGAATAGGTTTGAAAGAAGAATGAATAGTTTTGTACTTCTGTTGAACTTGTTTATACATGCTAACATTTTTTTTTCTTTTTCCCCTCCATGAATTTGGCATCATGGATCTAATGATTCTAACAAATTTCTGCCAAAATATTCATAAGGTAAAGCTTGTGCAAGATATATGCATTTCTGGTTTATGGATTCTCCCAAGCTCCATCGTACAGAATATATGTCAAAGTGCAGTACTGGTTTTGTGCTTTGAAAACACAGGCTATTTGTTAAATATTTCATTTTGCCTTTTTCTTCTCCCTCATACTTTATGATAATGATCATTTTTGTTGAGAAAATTTGTTTTAATTATTGAAATCTTTCCTTCAATTTCTTCTTTAGGGGGGGAAGAGAGGACAATAGATTTCATGAGAAGACGAGGACGTGCAAGTTCTAAAGCTCCACTATTGGCACACAATTATGAGAAAGGAACTATTAAGCATCCTTTTCCTATGAAATATTTCCTAAGCCCATGGAAACTTGGTCGATGGTTTTACCAAGTTGTCAAGTTCGGAATTGTTCAATATGTAAGTTCTCTTTAGCTTGAATAAAATGAAATATTATTTTGCTTTTGACATTGTTTGTTTCCTTAATATAATTGTATGGTTTCTTGACAGATGATAATTAAGATATTGACTGCTCTTTTAGCAGTAATTCTTGAAGCTTTTGGTGTATACTGTGAAGGAGAATTCAGTTGGGGACGTGGGTAAGATAATCTTAATGTGGAATGTTTCTGGTGATAATGAGGATTTTGTGTGAGTTATATGTAGAAGTACCATTTTTATGTGTAGAAGAAAGTAATTTTGAAAGATTGTGATTCAAATTGATGCCTCTTTTAGTTCTTCACTAAAACCCTGAATTGATAAAATTGTCTCAATTGTGAGCCCAAGCTTTTATTTAAAACATTCTGGTATTTCGTTCTTGCCTTTAAAGTGGTGAACATTCATCAGTGGAACAGAAATTTTGTCAATGGCACCTCTTACGAAACTTCTCATTATCTTGGCAAATTTTTTTCCCTCTTGTGCAGATATCCTTATATGGCAGTGGTTCTCAATTTCAGTCAAACATGGGCCTTTTACTGTTTACTTCAATTCTATACTGTCACAATGGATGAACTGGCACCCATAAAACCATTGGCCAAGTTTATGACTTTTAAATCAATTGTGTTTTTGACTTGGTGGCAAGGTGTGGCAATTGCCCTTTTCTATGCTCTTGGTCTGTTCAAACATCCGGTTGCCGAAGGCGTGCATCTGAAGTCAAGTGTTCAAGACTTCATCATTTGTATAGAGGTGGATGTCTTCAATCACCTATGTATCTCTTCTATTTAAAACTACTATTTACTAAACATGATGCAGCTACGTAATAAATATGCAAATGATTTACCTGTGTATGTAAGCTGAAACAACACCCTTGTAGAATTTATGACTGATAAGTCTTTTCGTAATACGAAAATTTGACATGTCATGGTATTCCTCCAGCGCAGATGGGCGTTGCTTCTGTTGTTCACCTGTATGTTTTCCCTTCCAAACCGTATGAGCTAATGGGAGATCACATTCCTGGAGCCATTTCAGTCCTTGGGGTCTATGCATCTGTTGATTGCCCTATAGATCCTGATGAGGTCAGGGAAAGTGTGGACCTACAAAGCTACGCCTACCGCAGCCTGACATAGAGGCTCGAAGTGGAATGACCATCAAAGAATGTGTGAAGGACGTATTTATCGGTGGTGGTGAATATGTAAATCTTCTGTTTATACTAACAATGCCAATTTTAGATTCCACATTGTATGTACATTGAGGTAAGTGAATATTACTACTGCTGAAACTGCTCTTTTGTTGTGCAGATTGTAAATGATGTAAAATTTACAGTAAATCAAGCGGTTGAGCCAGTCGAGAAGGGGATTACCAAGTTCAATGAGAAACTGCATAAGATCTCTCAAAACATAAAGAGGGATGACAAAGACCGGAAAAAACAAAGGATGATAGTTGCATTGCCAAATCTGAACCGAGGGTAATTCGTGGTATAGACGATCCCCTCTTAAATGGGAGCGTTAGTGATAGCGCGATCACAAATGGGAAGAAACAATGTAGAAAATCGGGAAGCTCCACTGGTGTAGAAAGTGGAGGAGAAAGCACCAGCTATCAATGCTATGGTGGATATCTCATTAGGGGCCGTAGATGGGTCACAAAGGAGTAAAAGCTTAGATGAATTGTTGCGGCTATATGAACCACGACACGCCGACATGATTGCTTATGATAGTCATATCCTATTCTTAGTTTCTGGCCCGCTAGCTTGGTTGACATGCCTAACAGCATTCATTGTTTCTGCCAAAGGTGGTTCAAGATTCTTTCTTTTTTCTTTAAATTTTCCTGAATTTAAGAACCATGTTGCATGATTCAGACATCTTTGCTCTACTTTTTTGAGAGATATTCCGTCTAGGCAAGTGTTTTCAGGCCGAATCAAGCTCGACTAATGTCTGGAAATCATTGCCCGGAAACAAGTTATGAACAGATTAACATCTGCTTTGTATTCTTGCTTTGAATATACGCACGACATTTGAAATTATTTCCCATTTTTAATTTCATTTAGCTTGTAATATATGGATCTTTTTATCTTTTCAGCCATAACCCATATCTCTGATCTGTTTACAGTGTATATTTAAAGGTAAGAGATGCTGAGTGTCGTTATATGCAAAATAAACTAATCTTAGTGTCAATTCTGGAACGTGTGATTCTTTTCTGACAAATAAACGATTAATTTAAATCAGATATTATAATTTTATTATAAACAATTTTTTCAATCCAATTTTCTCTCTTCATAATATAAACAAGCAATATAATAATACATTTAAAAGAGCTCAAAATTAAACTCACTTTTTCAAGTCTACAACAATTAGGGATGGACATAGGTCGGGTTGGGTCGAATTTTTTGTCCATCCGATCCGACCCGAGAATAATGACTCCTCCACCCAAAATCCGACCCGCATAATACATACCCTCCACCCGACCGGAACTCGACTCGACTTTTGAAATAAAATTCGAATTCGACCCGAAATAATAAAAAAATATTATTTTTATTCAATAAAAACAATGATTTAATTAAAAATAATAATATATAGAGGGATACTATTATAATTATTCTTAAATATACAAGGTAAAATTATATTTTTCTGGATCGGGGCGGGTTAGGTATTTTTCACCTTAAACCCGAATCCTACCTGACCTGAACACAACCTTAAAAAAACCGATGCGACCCGACCTAAACCCGAATTAAAAAAAACGACTCGATCGGATAAGATAGAGTCGGAACCTGTCGGATTCGAATCTCATGTCCATCCCTAACAACAATTGTTAAGACTATTTAACATGTTTTCTCAATAGTTAATTATTATCGTGTACGTATACTGAATTTATAATGAATTTTTTATTTGATTATGAAATTGGTACGATTGCAAGAATAAATTGATGAGAGATTTAGATAAACTATCGGTGATTAGAATTTTTAAATTGAAAAGGTAAAAAAATAAAATTCTTAATTGTAGAATAAAAACATCAGACTTTTTGAAGAACTAAGCACTTAATTCTACCTTTTTTATTTTAATTCTTTGATAGATGGAATTTATTCACTTCCTCAAATCTCAAACAGAGCTCTCCCCGAAAGGGAATAAAAAACTCTAAAGCGATAAAATTGAATCCTACATACAGATTACAAAGAGCTCAGTTTTGTAGTCTCCTATGGCTCTCAATCTTCGCCAGAAACAAACTGGTACGTTTCTCTTTAGATCTCTCTTCTTCCGTATCCCCTAAATTACCGAAGCCCCGTTTCATTTCTCTATGTAGATCTCGATATGAATGCAATTGCAATAAACTTTCATGTATCTTAGTTTTGAGCTTTGACCGTGTTAATATTTTTGTTAATTTTGATGTTTTCTTTGGATCCAAATCCACAAAATCTTGTGTTTCCCAATCGTTTGTTTTGTTGAGCTTTTTGGATCTAGTTTTATCTGGGTTTTCCTTTCCTGTGCTGTTGAATTTGATCTCATTGGGAGCTTTGACCGTATTGTGTGTATTGCTCTTTTTTCTTCTTCTTCATTTGGTTATTTTTACAGAATGTATAATCCGAATGCTGAATCTGAACCAACCAGCGAATCCCACTGGAACGGCTAATGAGGAGGTTTATAAGATCTTGATTTATGACAAATTTTGTCAAAATATACTGTCCCCCTTGATCCATGTCAAGGATCTGCGGAAACACGGCGTCACCCTATACTTTCTTGTTGACAAGGATCGTAAACCTGTCAATGATGTACCCGCTGTCTACTTTGTTCAGCCTAATCAATCTAATATCCAGAGAATTGTAGCCGATGCTTCACGTTCTCTCTATGACAATTTTTATCTGAATTTCTCTTCATCTATACCAAGGCCACTTTTGGAGGATCTTGCTTCTGGGACTTTGAGTTCGGATTCAATCCATAAGATTTCAAAGGTTCATGATCAGTATTTGGAGTTTGTGACGTTGGAGGATAATTTGTTCTCATTGTCCCAGAAGTCTACTTATCTTCAACTGAATGATCCATCAGCTGGGGATAAAGAGATTGAAGATATTATTGAGAGGATTGTTAGTGGATTATTTTGTGTTTTGGCTACGCTCGCAGTGGTGCCCATAATAAGATGCTCACGTGGTGGACCAGCAGAGATGGTTGCTTCAGCATTGGATCAGAAGTTGAGGGATCATTTGTTGTCAAAGAACAATTTGTTTTCTGAAGGTGGGAGCTTTGCGAGCTCATTTCAGCGTCCAATTTTGTGTATCTTTGATAGGAATTTCGAGTTGTCGGCTGCGATACAACATGATTTTAGGTACCGCCCACTTGTACATGATATTCTTGGATTGAAGCTTAATAGGTTGAGTGTGCCAGGAGAGAAAGGTGGAATGAAATCGTACGAGTTGGATAGCTCAGACCCATTTTGGATGGCAAATGGCTCGTTGGAATTCCCTGAAGTCGCTGTTGAGATTGAGACTCAATTAAACACATATAAGAAAGATGTTGATGAGGTGAACAGAAGGACTGGTGGGAATGCAGGAGCCGAGTTTGATGGGACAGACTTGATCGGGAACACAAAGCATTTAATGAATGCAGTGAACTCCCTGCCTGAACTGACAGAACGGAAGCAGGTTATTGATAAACACACAAACATTGCAACAGTACTCTTGGGTCAAATAAAGGAGAGATCCCTTGATGCTTATGTAAAGAAGGAGAATGATATGATGGACAGAGGAGGCATTGACCGAAATGAGTTGCTGGCTGTACTTAAGGGAAAAGGTACCAAGATGGATAAGCTGCGCTTTGCTATAACATATGTTATCTCTTCTGAAACCATTAATCCAGCAGATGCAGAAGCAGTGGAAGCAGCACTAATAGAATCTGAGGTTGATACTAGTGCGTATCAGTATGTGAAGAAGATCAAGTCATTGACTGTTTCGTTGGCATCAGCAAATTCTGCTAGTAGAAATAACATTGTTGATTGGGCTGAGAAGCTCTATGGCCAATCAATCAGTGCTGTCACAGCTGGTGTGAAGAACCTATTATCTAGTGATAGGCAGCTGGCTTTGACCAGGACTGTGGAAGCATTGATGGAGGGGAAGCCAAACCCTGAAATTGATTCTTACCTTGTGTTTGATCCTCGTGCCCCTAAATCGAGCTCTGGCTCTAGTAGCAGCCATCTGAAAGGACCCTTTAAAGAAGCTATTGTTTTCATGATTGGTGGTGGAAATTATGTGGATTATGGCAGCTTGCAAGACCTTGCCAAGCATCAGCAACCTGTCAAGAATGTTATATACGGAACAACAGAAATTTTAACAGGAATGGAGTTTGTTGAGCAACTCTCACAGTTGGGGCATAAGATGGGATTAGGCAATCCTGTTGCTACTTCTTCAGCAACCCATTAATGCAACCTTTGGATATAATTTGCCGAGCCTGCCATTCACCGGTCAACTGCATAAAGGAGGCAGCAGCATCTAAAACGGAGATATCATACACTATCATCACGTAAATGAAGATGCGAAGGTGAATATCGGTTGGGCCATACACTTTTTTCTTTAGAACTTACTGGTTTTGATTGAGACTTGAACCTTCGTCGATTTAGAAGAACTTATATAAATATTTCTTTTCCAGTTAGTTTCTGATGTTGGGATGGTTGTTTATCTTTCTTATTTCTTTCCCCTTAATTGTATTCTTGGAAACATGTCATCAACGAACTTATCCTTATGCGATTAACATGACTCGTTTTTGTAACTTCTTTCCTGTCTGTGTTGGTGTGTGCGTATACATGCTCATGGTTACTGTAATAAATTTAAGGGTAAAGTATAGTAATGCTCACTGAACTTTTCTAAAGCTTTCATTTAGGTCTCCCAATTTTTAAAACTTACAATACAGTCCCCTTAACATTTATTCCGTTTGCAATATGGTCCCCAACAGTTACGTTGGGGACTATATTGCAAATGGAATAAATGTTGGGGACCATATTGAAAATGGACTAAATGTTAGGGGATTATATTGCAAGTTTTAAAAGTTGGGGGACCTAAATGAAAGCTTTAGAAAAGTTTAATGACCATTACTATACTTTACCCTTAAATTAATTGGTGAATTAGATTAATATAGAAGAGAATCGATTGAGTTAAAAAAACAACTATAAAAAAACCAATCAAACAAATCGAATGTTCACATCTGTCTTCTACTGTCTTCTCCTACACCCATATTCCACTGCCGACTTATGCCCCTATATATCTTCTCTCTATCCCAATCAAAACTTCTTTTAATTTTATTAACAATAATATTCTCTCTCTACTTAAATTTAACCATCATATTTCATTAATTTACTCCATATATTAACGAGTCAACTCATAACAACAACAACAAAACCCTATTCCCATATGTAATGTGGTAAGGAGGAGGTAGGGTAGTAGGCTGCCCCCAACGCCAGGTTGAGAGCAACTTCCGTGGAAGACCTCCGACAGTCATAAAATTAAAAATGGAGATAAAATGCAATGCATGTATTAATATATATATAAATACATAGTTGAACAGTTTTCATATGCGCGTCTGTAATGAAAAGTAATCCCTACAAATAAATTCCGGGAAATATAAACGGTTGATTATTGCATATTTTATGTGAATATATTATTTCAATGTTTACTCATTTCTAAACATGAGTTATTGTATTTTTATTATTATAATATTATTTGTATGTTGATAAATTAACTTTTAATTATGATTTATCATAGATGACTCTAATAAAAGAGAATCTGAAGCATGGAGATTTAATGATAGATACATATCGGGTTAGTCAGAGTTTTTTTCATATTTAAATTCAGATTGAGTATTATACCCTCTGTCAGTCACCCCAACCAATTTAATTTTGAGAGTTCCAACCAATCCGAATCTCGGGTTTAAGTTTTTATCTTATTTTATTTTTAAAAAAAATAAGGATATAATTGAAAAAATATAGATAAAAGGGTATTACTGTAATTATTTTTAGGGTAAAGTATAGTCATGGTCACTGAACTTTTTTAAAGCTTTCATTTAGGTCCCTTAACTTTTAAAACTTGGGGACCATATTGCAAACAGAATAAATGTTGGGGGACCATATTGCAAACGGACTAAATATTGGAGGACTGTATTGCAAGTTTTAAAAGTTAGGGGACCTAAATGAAAAATATAAAAAAGTTCAGTGACCATTACTATACTTTACCCTTTTTTATTATATCATTATTTTATTATATTTGGAAAAAATTAATATTATATTATATAGATGTTGGGGTATTAATACCCAACCACCCTGTAAAATCACATTGGCCTCCGTCCCCTAAAAGGTGGGAATGAAAAGAGAGTTGCTTTGACGTTTTTCCTCTCCTTTTTGCTTTTTTTCTTCTTATTTTTTCTTTGTGGTTTCGGGGGTTCACGTTGGTGGCCGGCGAGGGAGCCATTTCGACCTTAGTTGTTGCCTTGTTGGTTGCCTCCGTATAGGAAGAGAGGAGAGTAGGAAGAAGTATAAGGCTAGTTGAGGGTCGGTTCGGACGTCGGTAGGAGTTCAAGTGTTCGCCGTTGAAAATACTAGTTCAATATATATTTCCTTTAGCATTTTCTGGTTAATCCTTGAACCCCGGTCGTCCATCACATTTCTCTCGCATTCACCATTGGCCATTGTCGTTCATCATTATAGACCATTGAGGATCTCATTCTCACATAGTATCAAAGTCATTGTTTCCGTCGACGATGTTGCTGTCACCATCCCATTCATTAGTCGTCATTGGTGCAACGATTACTTCCTCTGCATTTTCTTCCTTCTGATCTCCGCTTCGATCGCATTTTTATCGATTCATTTTTTCTCCTTCATCGTTGCTTCATCAGCTTTCGGTTCGATTATATGGCGCTCGTGTGCAAACACTTTTTTTTCCCCTTCTAGTAATCAGATCATCATTGTCAATAATTAGACTTGGAATCACGATCTTTCACCCCAAATCGTCTGATAAAGACGCCAACACCACTGCTACTGTTGACTCTCTATGTTCATTCTAGAAATCTGATCGAAATCTGAACCATGTCGTTCAAATACCAATGTCTTATTTCAGATGGATGTTTGCGTTATGAAAATCGTAGTCGCTTCAGATGTTGATGTAGTCATTGATCTGTCTGATTTTGATTGGTGAGATTCACACGTGCTGCAATCAGGTTTTTTATTCAATCTCTCTTTTATTGTTGCTACATCATCTATGCATCAGATGCATACAAACCATGATACTCAATCAACAAGCTGTTACAATAATACCAGAGCATTAAAAAAAAAAACCATGATACTCAATCAAAAGGTTCTCAAGCTATACAAAGACTATTATTCCCATATCTTACCTTGCTCACATTCCTGTTAAAAAGCTGGAACTAAACAGCGATTTTCACCAATTTAAACACGTCATGGTTGCTTCTAGCCGACCCCTTAAAAATCTTTCGGTTATGTTAATTTCAAACAAAGTAAATCGTCACACTCCAAACTGATTTTAGAATAGTAGACCGATTTAATAATAGATTTGATAATAAACAAATAAATAAAATAAATTTACTACATACATATGAAAATAAAATTTATATACCATAAAGTTTTAACACTTGTATAAATAGGCGTTTTTCCCGAAAAATCACCGGTGACCGGTATATTTACCGATCTAACACCGGTCAGATTATATTTCTCGATCTAACACCTGTAGCAGTAAAACGCGCTCCCTGCCACGTGCTATATGCTGATTTGGCGCCACGTGGGGTATAGCACGCCCCCTGTACCGCGCTATACGCTGACATGGCTTACACGTGGGTATAGCGCGCCCCCTGATCCGCGCTATACGCCGCGTAGGGGTATAGCGCTGCCTCTGCTCAGCGCTATACCTGGGTATGAATTATATTTAGCGCGAACTCTAGTCTGCACTATACCTTTTATCTGAATAATTACATATAGTGCGGTGCAGGTACCGCGCCTTATATGGTTATAAATACCATTCACTCCCGGTTAAGTTTCTCACATCTCTCATCTCAACTTATAAATTAATACAACAATTCCGTCAACGAGTAATAATTATGGTAATTTTCTCATATTTGATTTAGAAGTTCGTGCGATTTTTCGTTGTAAATTTGGTTATAAATTTTTTTATTATACTTATTTTTATTATGATTATTTGAAAAAATATTATACTAATTATTTTCAATTAATTTTTGTGTTTGTAAAATTGAAAAGCATGAGCATACATCAAAATAGTTTTGCAGTACAGGTAAAATATAAAATTATATTATTTAAATTATTTACGTTGATGTGTAAAAAATTTATTGTGTTATATTTTCGTTCATATATAATTTATTTAATCAGGTTTGTTTCAGTTGTTTTTGCAGATATAATATTGTCGCACTTTTAAACTCAAAAAATGGCGCAACTTTCAGCTATTGTTTATTATGATGGTGAAATTCGAGAAGATGAAATCGGCGTTGTTTTCGTATCAAATGAGCGTGTTAAAATATCATTCAAGAGAAACATAACTCTTGAGGAGTTGATAACGAAGATTTCGAGGAAGATTCATGTTGTAAGTAGTAGAAGAATATCGTCGTTGCAGTACAGATTTCCAACATCATTGTTGCCATTAACTTATACAGCGTTCGAACTTTCGAACAATGATGATGTTCAAATGATGGTTGAAGCTCAAAGTAATTATTCAGACGCCGTTATTGAGATGTATTCACATTTTGTTCAAGTGCGTGATGTTCGGGGTCAATTATTAAGCTCCCACTATGGGCTGGCTGAATAAGTTGATCAAGTTGACAGCCCGACTACAGTAATGTGTAATGATTTTAATGCCATAATAGGGATACATTCATCCGTAACTCCTTACGATATGTACCGAGATGGGTCCATGAACAATCCGTATGGCAACACCGCGTCCAGTTCAAGGGGAAGGCAATTATCTGCAAATTTCTTTGACCATACGCAACCATCTGTGCAGTTTCCATTTGACACGATGGCTTCAAGCTCCAGGGGGAGGCATTCGACTGCGAGCTTTTTCGATCTCAATGTCGATATGTCTTCCAGTTCAAGGGGAATGCTTGCAAGTAGTAGGTTCTTCGACCTAAATGTGGAGAGCATGGAGGAACCATTATCTCCACCAGAAGAACCACTTCGTGAGCCTGGTGCGGATGGTGCTGAGACTGGACTATTCATTCACCCAGAATCACCGCAATTCAACTCCGATGATGATGAAGTTCCAGGAAATGTGGCACAAACTGACCCTCCTGCACACATGTATGAAGCTGATTATGGTGCAATGTACGGGCCAGAATTTGTGGATATGCCTCATCTCGGTGACTATGGATATTACTCATCAATAAATAATGGTGAGTTATATTTAGGCATGGAGTTTTCAAGCAAAGAAGAAGCAGTGATGGCTATAAAAAATTACAATATCCGTAATTCTGTTCAGTCCAGAGTCAATCGATCGACGACCGAAAAATATGTATGCTATTGTGCCCGACGCGAAAACGGATGCAATTGGATGGTTCACGTATCGAAAATGAAGAGGAAAAACAACATATGAGAACTAACAGTATACAACGGTCCTCACACATGTTGTGCTGGAGGGGTCAACCAAGATCATCCCAACTTGGACTCTGAAATGATATGCCAAGCCATCATGCCCATGGTA